TAATTTTAATGTGTGTTTAGCAGAGAGACCGAAGAGAAAACAATCTACACAGATCTGCTCACCCTGCCTAGTTGGAGCCTCTCTGTAAGCAGTCAGTTGGACATGGTAAAGATGGATCGGAGATTAAAAAGTCGTTCTAGCTGGTGTGTTCAGGCCTTTATCCTGGAAAGGGTTAACAGCAGCTAAAGAGGAAGGTTGGGGCTCATGCTTCTGGAAAAAATTCTGTTGATAAAACTTAATGCTTCTCCAGTTAGCATTATGAGGCTACACATGCTAAGATGTCGACCAAAGAGGAGCAAGCATTTCCACATGAAGCTTTTATGCCATCATTTAATATAATGACCACATTTAACAGCAGGAGCTGAACAGATAACATCAGATGTTACTCTAGATTTAGAGCTTTTTTTAAATCCTTATTTAGCAGAATGGTGTTTACCCCCTTTAACACCAGATAAAGCTCCTTATGTGGCACTTTGAAAAGATTGACTGACCTTTAATTCAACTCATCAATAAAATATCCAAAAAAAACACTAGAATACTCATAGAGTGAGAGCAGGAAGAATATTAACATTAAACCATCAACTTGCAAAGAAGGGCCTTTCTAAGTCAAATGGAGATATTAATGAAATCCTTAAAGTCCTCGCTGCTTGCAAAGGAGACCCACAAGGAAATAAAAACACAATCAACACTTCTATATATTATGCGTGTTGAAAAAAACGTAGAGATGCAACAGAAAATGTTTTTTAAAGATGCAATGATTGTGGAGTGAAAGTTGTTCCACTTGGTTGAAACTCCCTGCAAATGGAAGCTGAAGACACCTGGGAACTAAGACGAGTATTATCACGTGCTGCTGTGTGTGTGTCGGAGAAACGATTGGATTATTAATTATTCAGCCGCCATGTTTGGGTCGGACGGCTGCGTTTTACCGCGGCGCCAGGTGACGAGCCGCTCCTGTGGGTGGGTGTCGCTGCCTCGCTGCCTCTAAAATGGGATCTCATCTGTGTCCTTCTGTCCGTCTTAAAGTGCTTCATGATTATTTAATGTTCAGAATCCAGAACAACAAGAAATTTGCTCTGTAACATTTCCAAGAAATTGTCTATTCCTGAGGAAAGGAAAGATTAAACCGTAGATATGACTTCTACATAAAGGCAGCACAGATCTTCTAGGACTGAACTGATTCATGCTAAAAAAGTTTCCACTAAGTTCATGGTGATTGGTCTAACAGGACATGTTTAGTCAATTTATAGCAAACATCTCCACTCTTCTCTTATTTTATTCTAAAGGTTTTGTCTTTTATTGCAGACTTAAGGTTTTTAAGATTTTTTTTCTAAAGTATTCAACCAGAGCTGTGCAACTCCCCCACGCTGCAGTGACTGACAGTAAGGATCATCTTGCCTTTAGACACCAATGCACTGCTTTCCCACTTCCCTCCGCAATTCAAGAAAAAATGAATTCCAGTTAAAAAACAATCCACTGGACTTTGTTTGCAAGTTTGAAGACATTTATCTTCCATCCAGGAAGCTTTTTCAATTCAAAATATCAGAAATAGAGTTGAGTTCCAGGTTTTATCCAGCAGCCCAACAAAGCCTGGTTTTAGTTTAGAAAACATGCAAATAGAAACAGATGAAAGGGTCCACCCCTTTGGAATGGGGGTCGTTTGGCTTCTTTGTTAGCCTGCAATGCCCCATACTTGTCTATGTCTCAGAAAGGGGAGTCGTTAGAGGGAATTGTTGGCCTGGCTGAATAGGCGAGGTCTTCTGTTCTCCTGTAAAGGGGGTGGGGGGTTGTGATGAGACTGAGTCTTTCTCTCATGGAGCAGTTTGAAATTAGAGATATTTTGAAACATCAATGCTGGGAGTTTAATTTAAAGGTTTTATTCTCTTCCACATGTGCATCCAGTAAAATAACTGTTATTAACAGTCCTTGCTGCTCTTCTAGCTGATACTAGAGACCTTTACAATTTGCATGTTTTCTAAATAAAAACAAGGCTTTGTTGGTCCACTCTATAAAACCTGGAACTAAATGCTATTTCTGACATTTTGAATTAAAAAAGTCCAGAGGATTGTTTTAAACTTTTTTGGAATGACTCTGACCCTGATGACTGAGAATCGTCACAAGCATAAGAACAAATGCACTTATTTCAAGAAAAAAATTACTTATTTAGATTTAGATTTTTTTTCCAGTGTAAAGTCTATGATACTCATGAACTATTTGAAAATCTCTGCTTTGATGTCAGTATCGACCTGAAGGAGGGAAACGTGCGAGGCAGCAATTAGCCGACAGTCTGTTATTAAGTGGGTTAATGATTTAACGAGCAGCAGGAGTGCCGAGACGATGGCGGTGCTTCACAGCATGAAGTCCATGGAGGCAGTCCATCAAAAATCTACCGGCTTTATTGCTTTTAATGTCCTGCAGAGTAATGACATCATGAGTTAGCTCGCAGGTACAAGTCATATTAGCTAAGCTAACATAAATGAATTAGGTAGGCTAATGTAGCTGGTGCTACACTAAACATCACTAATGTTTTATTCCATATTTCTCTACCCTATGGCTGCCTTTGATACTAAAATCTGAAATAAAGTTGATCATTAATCACAACAATAGTTTATGGTGTTACAGTAACTTTCACTGTAGTCCCGAAGTATGAGGTGCGCTTATTTACGGTTATTTAGCATTTTTTTAAGAGAAAAGTAAGAGTTATTTTTCCGCAAGTCATTTTTCACTATGTTATTCATTCATTTATTAAAATTAAAGTTTCAAACTAAGC